AACACCCCTTTAAAAAGAACCTCAATTTGGCCAATTTAAATAATTTTCTATTAGCACCCGCAGCATGCCACCTCTCGGGGTTCCAAACCCCATCCTCAAGGTGGGCCCTTGAGATCTTGTTGGGCCAGGCCTGCGCGAGGGGTGAATCGCGCAGGGCCAATAGGACCGTCCTAGGGTACATCGATTAAATCATAAGTCCCTGTGGGTTTTACTCTTACTTTAGGGGTGGTGCTCATCTCTGTTTCTTTAAGTCAGACATGTCAAACACAAGGCCCGGGGGCCGGATGCAGCCCATGAAGTGGTTTCATGTGGCCTGCGAAGCCATCCTGGAAACAGTGAGGGAACGGCCCCCGCTGCCATGGCCCTGGCCAGCCGGGAGCCAATGTACAATTTTGTGGTGGCCATCTATGCTGAAATGCATTCAGTCTTAGCTCAACAAGGCCATCTAGAAACAGCGAGGAACCAGCCCCTGCTGTGTCGCCCCGCCCCCTGGGTGTATGCTGGGGAGGTGTCACCCTTTGTGAGGAATGAAGAAATGGACCATGCCTTGGTGCTTGCTCCGGTCCCACCCTCTTCTGCCAGAGACCCTCAGATCTGTCCCACTCCTGCCCAGGCCCCCACAGGCACCCTTGACGCGAACGATGTAGAGCTAGCCATGCCCACCCAGTAGGCCACACCCACTCCATCAACCCCCACCCAGTAGGCCGCCCCCCCCGAGGGCAACCGCAATGCTGATGTGGCCCTCAATGAAATTGAGTTTGACACCCCTGCTTTAAGTCATTGAGCCAGAGCTGTCTGGAGAAAATTTCAGAGTCATGTGGCAAAATGTATGATAAAACACTGAACACTGTTACTTTCCCATTAAAGTGGTCCCTATTTACCTACTTGCATTTACATGCTTTCAAACTGTTTAGGTTGGCAGGAGCTCACTCCGTCATAGTGGTAGGACTCAAAACTGACAGAGTAAGGAAAAAAAAAATCCCATCTGCTACTATTCCCTTGGTTGGTTGTGCTATGCAGTTGCAGACATACAAGTGAAGGCCTTGAAATAAAAGGCACAATATTTCACAATATTGGTTACCCATTTGTTATGGAAGGGCCAGACAATCAGAAGGGAATCTGTTTGCTACCTGCTCTGGTCTTTGAAAAAAGCAACTCTCTCTACCCTTCCCTATAGAAAAAGGACTGCTTCTTTTTACACAGTCCTGGGGTGGGGCGGAATGTGCACAGCTCAAGGGGGGGCTTGAGGGGCAAAACCTCAGTTTACCAAAGCCCTCATTAACATAATGGCCTTGCTGGAATACCAACAGGAACTGGCCCTGTTTTAAAACACAAGTACCCCAACATCCTATGGATTCCTTACCTCATAATGAAGCCTGCGGGCTTTATTCATTGCTGGTAGGCTGGATTGTTTGCCACTGATATTTCTGAACACTTGAAATACCATAAAACACAGGAACAAGAAGTAGAGGCAGAGGCAGATTCCGGCAACAATAATAAATGCCATCTTAAGTGGTAAAGTTAAGGGAATCAGTAAAGGCAGAAATAGAAATAGGTAGTTCATTTGGCATCTTGTTTGCAGATTCCTATTCTGCTCTTAAATATAAGCACAGTAAGAAATATTGCATTTGTCACACTTGATATTTGCTAAAATAAACTTGAGAGGTTAGCCCGTAAAAAATATGCTGCTGTTCAGCTAGCTCATCATGTTATTAATGCCTCCAATCGTTTATGCCCACCCAGGATATTCCAGCCGAGTGGGTATGCTCCAGGAGTGGGTATGCTCCAGGCCCCATCCATGAAGCAATGTCTTTTAGGACTTAGCTAGTGTCTGGGATTGATGCTTGTTATTTGCTAAAGGCCATTATTTTGCACTGTGTAGTTTGTTGTTTATTGAGTCATTTTACTCTTGTCGGTTTATCCGATTTTATGTTTTCAGCTGTTTCTATGTTTTTCCCTCCTGGTTTTCTACACCCCTCAGAGTTCAGTGGGGTTGAGCAGCCAATAAATTTAAATAAATACATAGGCTAAAACAGTGGTTCTCAACCTTTTTAATGCCACGACCCCAACCGGTCGTAAGTCGAGGACTAAACCGGTCGTAAGTCGAAGACTAAACCGGTCGTAAGTCGAGGACTAAACCGGTCGTAAGTCGAGGACTACCCAACTGGTCATAAGTTGAGGACTTTCCCTGCCCGGGAGCGCCTCGCATGCGTGGTTCCGCCCCCTGCGCTGGCCGAGGCGTAGCTGGCAAGCGGCAGAGACGGAGCAGGCCGACCACCAGCTGGCCCAGCCCAAGGGAGATAAGGCACCCACCGGAAAAGGGGAAAAAAATGGCGGACAAAAAAAAATGGCGGACAGCCTTGCTTGGCGACCCCCGTGAAATGGTCGATCGACCCCAAATGGGGTCCCGACCCACAGGTTGAGAACCACTGGGCTAAAACAAGGAGCCCTAACGTCTGCAGGCATCCATTTGTGTTCCATACAAAAATCCTGGGCAAGAAGCAACTATCATGAAACCTCAGAAAAACCTTGTTAGAGGTTTGAGCTGCCATGGCCTTGTAACCTAACATCATTTCATCACCTTCACATTGAGCATTAAAGGAAAAGAAACTCAGCAGAGGAAGAGATGCGGAATGGAGATCTCGGGCTCTCCTTCACCAGGGTTGACAATGGAGGATTGTAAGAAGGGATCTGGCCAGTTGCTGACAAAAGAGTGGTAAGATTTGGGGAGGCACTGGTATTGGAAGGGAGAATGGCCAGCTAAGTCCTGATATGTGAGGGATAGGTCAGACAGGAGGGCCTTCAGGGATGCCAGCGTCCTAACTGGAACAGTTGTGTCACTTTGAGAATAAAATCTGTATTTGCATATACCAGTATGTACCTGGCTTTGGATGGCATTCAGGGTAAGAGGTGGGGAGCTTGAGGATGGTCCTGGTTTAAAGTGAAAGAATAAGCCATGCTGGCTGGAGAAAATATTCTTCTAAGGCTGCAGGTAGTTCCTGTGGTTGTTAAGCAGGACATTAAGCGAGACATCACACCACAACTTATGGTTTTACTGCTGGCTTCTCCATTGATTTGACCAGTTGTAAAGCATGCACATGGTGATCACGTAACCATGGGGACATGACACTTGTAAATGCCTGCTGGTTGCAAAGTGCCTGAATGTCAAACATGTGACAATGGGGATGTTGAGACAGTTTTAAGTATGAGGAGTTACTTTTTCAGCACCATCATAACTTCAAATGGTTGCTTTAACATGGCAGTTATTAAGCATGACTATCTATAGTGAGAGAGTACTCAGGGATGGCTCCTGCCACTGTATGAATTTAGGAAACTGATAATGTGATGGATGTGGGAGATAGAAGAAAAGGCTGGTGTGTGCACCTTTATCAGACTGCTGACCTTCTGAGCAAGGAGGGGAATGTATTTAAGGGGATAAAAGGAGGTTGGGGTTGAACCTGATACCCCACGTTATACTGATATTGATGGGGAAAGTGAGCTTATCAAGTAGTAAAGATCGGGGGATGTGAGGGAGGGCACTGATAAACCATTCCATTGGAAGGGGAACTGGTAGTCTGGTACCAGATTCTGCTTCTGCCCTATGGTCTCATGCCTAAGCTGGATCTCTGGTGGCCTCAGGTTGATACAAAAAATTCCAGGTTCATCTATGATAGGATCTTGTTCACTGATGACTTGAAAGTGGACGAAGAGGCAGACCTGGCAACTTACATTACTAAAACCTGGTTGCATAAAGGGTGGCAATGTCACCCTCTTAGAATTCCATCCTTCTGGATTTTGTGACTTACAGCAACCTTGATGCAAACCAGCAGGTGGAAGCACTGATCTATAGAATTGCCTATGACCATGACATCTGCATGTGAGATATTGGTCTTTAAATGTCTATGTGTTCAGTTGGAACATGGGAATCCTACCCAAGCACTGGAGTTTAGCCCTCATTATTTGGTGTTCGGTGATTTCAGCTTCTATATTCTAATGTCTGAATCTGGGAAGGTTTTGGACTTCATGAACAAAAAGTATACCTGACTATGGACAAGTATAAACCCAAGGTTAATCCTAGGCTATAGTGGTGGAGGAAAAGTAATGCAGCCCTTGAATCAATGTTATGCATACTTGCTCTAATGAAATCCAAAGAAAGTAAACTTTGAAAAAGAACACCCCCATGGATATGGATTACTTTAAATTCATGAAACCATTTCAAAGGATGCTTAAACGCTCCATGAAGTTTAAGTGAAACAAAAAACCCTTCTCAGCTTATTAGCATCACCTTCCCAAATTTCAGAGGCTTTGGGGCAGAATAAAGAAGATAACCAATGGTTCTGAATGAAGTAAAATGCAAAGGATACAGCCAACTCTGTGCCAACATCTGTAGCCCAGATACTATAGAATGGATTTTTTAATTGTACTCCTCTGGAAAGAAAGTCAGGAGATCAAATTATACATGCAGCATGTGTAGAACAAAGCAAGTATTTGGGAAGTCTAGAGGAACAATGTCTAAAGAACCCTTGTGAGCTTTATGAAGGGGAGGATTGACGCTCATTTAACTGCTTTAAAAAAGTATAAAACACTGGAAGTTTTTAAGAAGAAACTGGACAGCCATTTGTCCAAAATGGTATAGGGTTTCCTGCCTGAGCAGGGGGTTGGACTAGATGACCTCCAAGGTCCCTTCCAACTTTATCATTATTATTATATTTCACTACACAGAACTAGAAATGCTCAACTATTTATTTCCATGCTATTCACATTGCAGATAAAAATAACAGAATAGTTTTATTATTAGCTTGATTCAAATTCTTTGTTTGTTTGTATGAAACAACCTGGGGAGGAACTATATGCTACCAGAAACAATGAACCAGAAAAATATAATAACTATAAGTCTCTACCCTTTTTCCTCTCTTCCCTAACTTGCAATAACAAAATGTGTGATGAGATATGATCCAATCCTGTGCTTCTCTGCTCTTATTCAAAGCCTATTGGTGTTACATCAGAAGAGAAAGTTACTATGCTGTTTACATTTACTTATAAAGAAAATATTTTTAGGCTGGGTACTACTCTCTTAAGTACTATCCAACAAGTTTGAAAATATGTTTTCTTTTTTACAAACATTTTCCTTGTATGAAAGAAAAATGTATATTTTATGACAGTAATGGGCAGGCTCCATTACGGTCGTATGTTGAGGACTACAGTGAGGGGAAAAAAGTATTTGATACCCTGCTGATTTTGTACGTTTGCCCGCTGACGAAGAAATGACCAGTCTATAATTGTAATGGTAGGTTTAATTTAACAGTGAGAGACAGGATAACAACAAAAAATCCAGAAAAAAGCATTTCAAAAAAGTTATAAATTGATTTGTATTTTAATGAGTGAAATAAGTATTTGACCCCTTCGCAAAACATGACTTAGTACTTGGTGGCAAAACCCTTGTTGGCAATCACAAGGTCAGACGTTTCTTGTAGTTGGCCACCAGGTTTGCACACATCTCAGGAGGGATTTTGTCCCACTCCTCTTTGCAGATCCTCTTAAAAGTCATTAAGATTTTGACGTTTGGCAGTTTGAACCTTCAGCTCCCTCCACAGATTTTCAATGGATTTAAGGTCTGGAGACTGGCTAGGCCAGTCCAAGACCTTAATGTGCTTCTTGAGCCACTCCTTTGTTGCCTTGTCCGTGTGTTTTGGGTCATTGTCATGCTGGAATACCCATCCACGATTCATTTTCAATGCCCTGGCTGAGGGAAGGAGGTTCTCACCCAAGATTTGGCGGTACATGGCCCCGTCCATCATCCCTTTAATGCAGTGAAGTTGTCCTGTCCCCTTAGCAGAAAAATACCCCCAAAGCATAATGTTTCCACCTCCATGTTTGACAGTGGGGATGGTGTTCTTGGGTTCATAGGCAGCATTCTTCCTCCTCTAAAACATGGCAAGTTGAGTTGATGCCAAAGAGCTTTATTTTGGTCTCATCTGACCACAAAACTTTCACCCAGTTCTCCTCTGAATTATTTAGATGTTCACTGGCAAACTTCAGATGGGCCTGTACATGTGCTTTCTGGAGCAGAGGGACCTTGAGGGCGCTGCAGGATTTCAATCCTTCATGGCCTAGTGTGTTACCAATTATTTTCTTGGTGACTATGGTCCCAGCTGCCTTGAGATCATTGATAAGATCCTTCCGTGTTGTTCTGGGCTGATTTCTCATCGTTCTCATGACCATTGAAATTCCACAAGGTGAGATCTTGCATGGAGCCCCAGACCGAGGAAGATTGACAGTTACAGTATTTTGTGTTTTTTCCATTTGCGAATAATTGCATCAACTGTTGTCACCTTCTCACCAAGCTGCTTGGTGATCGTCTTGTAGCCCATTCCAGCCTTTTGTAGGTCTACAATCTTGTCCCTGACATCCTTGGACAGCTCTTTGGTTTTGGCCATGGTGGAGAATTTGGAATTTGATTGATTGCTTCTGTGGACAGGTATCTTTTATACAGGTAACAAGCTGTATAAAAGCTCATTACCTGTATAAAAGACACCTGGGAGCCAGAAATCTTGCTGATTGATAGGGATCAAATACTTATTTCACTCATTAAAATGCAAATCAATTTATAACTTCTTTGAAATGCGTTTTTCTGGAATTTTTTGCTGTTATTCTGTCTCTCACTGTTAAAATAAACCTACCATTAAAATTATAGACTGATCATTTCTTTGTCAGTGGGCAAATGTACAAAATCAGCAGGGGATCAAATAATTTTTCCCCTCACTGTATCTGTGCAAGTTTTTTTTTTAAAAAAAATTAACAATATCCACAGTAAAACTAAGTGACAAAAGCTATGAAAAAGAAGGAATTCTAATTACCTCTCGCACATGTCGAAGGCAAATAAACAGAAAGCGCCTACAGCTATTGGCCCAACTTGTTTCCAGTAGGCTGCAAAACGATTTCGTTCATTCTGATCCTAAAACAGATTAAATAAGAGAAGACAATAAAATTATTAGATGAGACAAAAAATAAAATATATTGATTTCGCAGGTATAATTAGAATGGTAGCTATGGCGAAGAATTTGTAGTCTTAAATCATACTTTATATAAGAACAGTCAAGACATTGGTATATCTTATCAATGCTTTAGTAATGCTAAATAAGACTGTGGAGTAGCTCCCCACCCCCAACAACCCTGTACATGTTGATTCCCAGAAGGAAGTGCAATGATGGAGCTTTTCTGTCAGCTTTAGCCAATTACAACTCAAGTTGATCCAAACAATATAAAAATTATAGGATCCTGAATCTCATTTTCCAGCACTCTTTTATATAAAATCTTACCACTCATAAATCATTAATTTGGCATACATTTTGATAATAAAGCCCTTCCTATGTTCACAACTTTCGGTTGTAATAGACTACAGTTCTCATAATCTCCAACTTGCTCAACTTATGGCTTATTTTCTGAGACTGATGAGAACGCTAGAAAGTGGGGAATGGCTTTGCAGAATGAAAACAAACCCTAAAATATATAACAATGGAGGAAAAATCCTGGAACAGTATATTCACGAACTCATATGAGAGCACCTACCATCATATGCTCTCCACAGAAGATGATCCAAAAAGACAAGAGCATAGCATAGAAGACCCCTTGACGAATATCTCCAAAAAGCAGCATCCAAGTCCAGTCAAAACCAATAGAAAACCACTCTACTGGAATGTTTATGAAAGTCATAGAGATTCCAAGAGCAAAGATTATCCTGAAAAAAATAGTAATATTTTCAAAAACTCTTCCATTTTCCTCAGTTGCTCCAATAAGCTTTATGTAATATTCAGGTAAATGCCTCCTAAAATGATCCCTGTCTCCACCTACTTGACATGCCACAAAGGCCGATATAGACCTTGCACTGATGGAAGCTGCACACCATCACCATATATAGAGGTACCAGGGATGGGACAGACACACCCAATATTCTTCTTGACTCTGTATGTTTGTTTGTCTGTCTACCTATCTAGGACAATTCTAGCAATGGTATCAAGCTGACTCAGTTTTTAAAACATTTCTCTGAATTCACATGAAAAGTTCACTTTAAGTTTAGTTACTAAAGTCTTCCTGAGAAAGAAATCAGTGCCTCAATGCATCTTTCCACAGTTGGTAAATTTCTTATCAGCTATAGTTATGGCAAATAGATGAATCTATAACCTTTTGAATGCTCTAAAACAGATTCCTTCAACTTGTTACTTTTCAAATACAGCATGTTGGGAAAACAAGGACGAGTCACCAGATTGGGAGAAAGTTGTTTTAGCTGTTCTACAAGATGCAGATACAATAGTGTGTCATTAAATTTAGGAAGTGAATACAGGGAGAATATGCTTCAGTACAGGGGTCTTCCAGATACCTTAAGATTACTAGCACCAGAACTTTTTAACATTAGAATTTAAGACAGCTACAGTCCAAGATATCTAGAGAACACTAGACTATCCCTATCTACTTTATTATGTCAGTAGTTACGCTATAGATCAGACATGTCAAACTCGCGACGTCACGTGACGTATCGGAACTTTTCCCCCATTGCCGGCAATGGGGTGGGCGCGGTTTCCTCGTGACACGTCCGGCCCGCGGGCCGGCAGTTAGACACCCCCGTTGTAGATTAAGTAATCTTGACTAACAGAGCTATAGAATAAACTGCTAGCCTAGGCTCCTCAAGGGGGAACAACGACTGCCATGCCAATAACAACCACACAAGATTTGGTTTCCTCTTGCAAGAAACAGACATTGATCATTACATACTTTTCCAGGAGCACAGGTTGTCGTGTCATCTGCATGATCCGTCTCCAATACCAAATCATGATGATGAAAATGCTGGGTGTAAGGAATGTTTTCATGGCAAACCAGACTTTTGTGAAGCCGCCATTTTGATGGATACCCTGAAAGTGAACTTAAGTTTCAGTGCTGCTTTTCTTCACATTGATAACACAAATCCTAGTCTTGCAATGCTTCATTTGTTTAAACTACCATAGCCTTTCCATTTATCCTAAAGATCGTTTAAAAAAACAGGTTAAAAGAACAAAGCCAAATAATATAAACACACGGTTTTAAAATATGCACTATACAATCACTGTAGCAGAGATGAGTTGTACTTGGGGAATATAAGACATGGTAAATTGTAAACAGAAGAGAAAAAAAAATCAAACATTTATCTGGTGCCAAAAGCTGGTAATGTTGAAATGTTAAATGGATCTCAAAGCAAAAGGTCTAAATAAAAGCAGGGTGTGAAATCAAGAAAGCTTTTGCCAGAGGTGGGATATTAAGAAGGGCACCCTTAGTGGCTCTTTTAAGTATTAGGCCTTAAGCTGCTAAGTTTGAAATTTGACTTATAATAAATAAATTTCAGTGCAATTCTTTTAGGACTGACGTTATTTGGTTTCAGGAGAGTGCTCGTATTCTCCACTAGCTTCTGAATTGTCTTCAAAGAAAGATCCACATAAATTGCTATCTGGATTTAAGTGAGACTAACCACTCCTTGTAATTTTGTGTAAAGAAAATAAATAAAAATGCAATCTAAGAATGCCCCTTTTATCATGTCCCATATTCTCCTAGTTTAGCTTCTTGGAAGATGAAGAAAAGCAGTATTGCCCTTGCTCAGTGTGCAAAAATGTAATTCAAAGTCAGGTGACACGATAGGTGCTGATAATCTAGCATAATGGCTGCTTGCTCCTGGAGGTATCAAGGAAGCGATTATCAGCAGAGCTAGTGAAAAATTAGTTAATTTCATGGGTGCAAAGAAGCATAATGGCTGAAGAGGCATCAAAGGGGGAAAATCTGCAGGGAACCTGGAAGCTGTATAGGGACAACATTCTTTTTCTTTTCCCCCATCCTAAAGATTATGCACTTAATTCTATGCACTCTTATAACAAGTAGTAAGTAGTAATTATAAGAGTTGGGAGACAACGTTTATTTTTGTTTGATTTATAATTAGGACAGCGTTTCAGCTGCATAAGATCCTGTAATCAGTATGAAACATCCCAAATAATTACAAGCCAATTCTGTTCTGATTCTACTTTCCCAGCTACCAAATCTACTAGTCCAATTAGTTAAGAAGATGGAAACTGGATTTCCAAATGCTTCTTTTGAATGGTAAGGAGCATCATATGTTCATTTCCATGCTAACATTGAAACAAATTCTATGTTCATATCTTTAATCTGATTTCTAATGGAATCTAACCACAAAGAAGTTAGAATAAAATAGTAAGCACAATTAATTCCATATTCAGAATTTTAGCATATCTCAACAAATATGTGAAATAACTACAGATGTTTGTATTCTGTTAGCCTTGTAGCTTATGTGTATGCTTATAGGGAGAAGTAAATTAGTATAAAAGATATTAATGCATACTTACCACTAAACGGATATCCTTTATTTCACCAATTCCTACATTAATACCTGCCTTTTCATTAACAGGAAGACGAATGTTGAGAAGATAGTATTTGTGAGCTACAGTTCCAATCTCCATGAATGGGAGAAAGTCACAATCATAAAACTTCCCTTCATGCTCTACAGTCTATTGAAAAACCAGACGAGAAAACAGAACTATAAAAATTGAACATATCCACTCATAAAACTGTTGTTCCTTTATGATGTATGAGCATATACACTGTATTTTGGAAACTATAGCTGCTTTCTTGGGATAGGTTCATATTTCACCAAACTAAGGACAAATAAATCACAGTGTAGATTATCTTTATGTGTCTTTCAGCTTAATGGACAAATTCACTTAAAAATGCCTGCATTTTCTGAAATGGCAAACATTTTCTCCTCTAACCCTAACCCCAACTTACAGTTATATGTTCGCCCAGCAAAACTGGCTGTCAAAGCAGCTAAAGACTATATTTAGTTATGTCATTAAGTTTAAAGTAAGTATAATTAAACATAGCAAAAATTAAAATAAAAAGAACATTGAAACTTATATCTTACTAAAGCCAAACTATAACAACATTTGTTCAGTCAAACCTGGAAGTATGAAATAATTCATAGTGTTAATGCTTTCCACTAGTTATGCCAGTGGTGGCGAACCTATGGCACATGTGCCAGAGGTGGCACTCAGAGCCCTCTCTGTGGGCACGTGCGCCATGCCCCGGAGATGGCAATCTTTCCTCTTCAACCAGCTGCCTGCTAACTCGCCGAGGTTCATGTGGCTGGATGCATCCCAGCACCCATGCGCTCGCTGGCCTCTGTGTGCAGGGGCTGATGGTGTCAGGCAGCAGCCGCTCCTGCCCCTGCCTTGCCTTGCCCTGCGACAATGGCTCCTCCGCCCTGCCTCACCTTGTCTCACCCCGCAGGACGAGCCTCCTGCCCACTGCCCCACCTGCCAGAGATCCCCTGGATTTCCCCAACTCTGCGCGGCTCCCACAGGTGTCCCCCCCCACAAGCAACATCGAGGTGATCACGCCCACCTTGGCCACACCCAGCCAGTCTGCCATGAGCACCACGGCCATGCCAACCCGGCACCTGGCGATAAATAAGTGGGTTTTGGGTTGCAGTTTGGGCACTCGGTCTCTAAAAGGTTCGCCATCACTGAGCTATGCTATAGTCCACATACAGAAATACTTTTATAGGCGATGGAAGGGGGAACCTATGAACATCTGCAGTGTGGCAAACAATGATTCTTGGTTGTGATTGTGAAAAACACTTGGTGGAGTAAAAGTTCTATTAGTTTTCCAATGCTGGGTTATCAATAAAACCATTACTAATATAGACTTACTAGTCCTAATGGGTTAATAGTAAAGTACAAAGTTTCAGAAACAAACCTTACAATTTATTTACATTTCTGTATAAATTTATATTTATATTTCTTTATCATTTATAGTTCTTAAACTTCTCAAGACATTTTAATTAACATTGGAAATCTTAGGACAGTTATCCAGCTATGCTGTATCCTGGGCAGAATTAATTCAATGCATTTGAAAGCAAACAGTACAAAGGATTTTGCATTTTACTAGGACAAGTATATTAAAGCAGAACAGAACCACAAAGAACCTACTTTTGGAGCACCAAAACTACAGTTGAGCTTTCGGGTCTCTATTGCGTGCGCCATTTCTGTCCATTCACTGACTGTATCATCCCGATATCCTAAGTGCACATCAAGACTAACCTTTGCATTTTCTTCTGCAAAAACAATAGGAAACAACATGTTAAATAATATTTTCATGGCAAAATGAGAACAATTACTTTTGGCTGCCCCAAATACTGATTGACTGGTAACTCTAGACATTCCTTGCCCCTTGGGCCATGACAAAGAGCAGTGTGACAATTCCTTTTGTGCATTGTATTGTAATTTACATCTTCCTTGGTTTAGCTAAAATCCCACCCCATTCCTTCCACTTACTTTTCAGTTTTTTTCCCCACAGATGGGACATCTTGATGGATACCTGCACTTTGCTTAAAATTACAGTGTGTCACTGACAATGTATATAAAACCAACACTACTTGGATTTAGGATAATAAAATATATTTTTTTAAAGCAAGACCAATATCCTGCTACAATCTAATCACTCTCAGCGGCTTGCCATAAAGGTTTGACACAACATTTATAATAGAAAAATCACAACAAATAAAAGAAACCATTGCTACAATTAGATGATTCCACGCTACAAATGCCCTTTGGAAGACTCCTATCTTTAACTTCTTCCAGAATCTGTATCATGACAGAGTCTATTGAACCCCCAAGAGGAAGAGGATTCTAGAGGCCTGGTTTCCAGGCTTCAACCTGCCCAATCTTCAGAAAATCAGGAATGACAAGCTGCTTCTTCTAATGCGATTGACTCCATAGGGATGACTCCAGTGGAGAGATGCGGTCCTGAGGGTGACTTGGAGTAAAGCTATAAAGAGCTTTACAGGTTAAAGACAGAAACATAGAGAACTGAATGCATAAAATGCCTTTGAATTTTTGTTTGTTTAATTAATTATTTTTTATTTTAATTATTTTTAATATTTATTTTTATTATTTTATATTTTATTTAATTTTTATTTATTTTTTAAATTTTTGTCGATGATAGACATTTGTTTATCTTGTGTTTAAACAACACTTTAATTACAGAAAAAAAAAGTATTAGGCAGCCAACGTAGGGCCTGCAATTCAGATATAATACGATCCCACTGAGAAAACTGCTGCTGAGCACCTAGGTCAGGGGTAGTCAACCTTGGCTCTTTTATGACTCGTGGACTTCAACTCCCAGAATTCCTGAGCCAGCTTAACTGGCTCAGGAATTCTGGGAGTTGAAGTCCACGAGTCATAAAAGAGCCAAGGTTGACTACCTGACCTAGATCATGGCTATCTGCCTTTCCAGGTGGTCTTTAAACACAGCTCCACATTCAGCACATTGCAGTAAGCTAAGTAGGTGGTAACGGGGGCATGGGATTTAGTTAATAGTTTTATATCATGATTTTGGATGGAGCTGGAGATATTGTCAGTCTCCCAGTGCCTGGAAGCTATGAGGATTTGGGTGGGACACAATAGGCTTCAACTGAACCCCAGCAAGGCAGAACATTAATTTGTACATCAGGGCTCTCCTATGGTCCCAGTAATTCCTCTAAATGGAGTTTCATTACTCCCAACAGAAAAGGATGGAAAAGGATTGTGAAGGAATTAGAGGTGGACGCCAAGGTGCCATTTGCAGGCTTATCTGGGATGTGAATACCTTGCTACAATATTCTTATCATTACCTGCTTAGACTACTGCAATGTCTAATTCCTGAGATTATAGGTAAAACAACAAAATTTTTCGACAGTGTCCAGTTACTAAAGACACAAGTAGGAGTTGTGGTGGTGCTGTGGTTAGAATGCAGTATTGCAGACTAATTCAGCTCATTGTCAGGAGGTCGATCCTCACTGGCTCAAGGTTGACTCAGTCTTTCATCCTTCCAAGGTTGGTAAAATGAGGACCTAGATTGTTGTGGGCAATATACTGACTCTGTAAACTGTTCTGTGAAGCACTATGAAGTGGCATATAAGTTTAAATGCTACTGCTATTGCTAAGTAGAATCAAGATTCATGTCAAGTGGCTTTTATTGGCAAAATATTGTACTAGCATGTTTCCCAGAAAGTAAGAACTACTCTGAAAATAAGCCCTAGTTTTGGGGCGAGGCACACACCTAAAAATCAAGCTAGGGCGGAGGTGGAGCTGCCCCACGCGCCCCACACCCACTTACCTGGCAGCCAGGCCTCTCCTCACCGGCCCACTTCTTCTGCGGCATCCCCAGACTTGCATTTCACAATCAGAGGCCTTTCCAGAAGGCCACTGTAGCTGAGAACTGAGCTATGGATTGAATCCATAGCTCGGTTCTTGGCTGCAGTGGCCTTCTGGAAAGGCCTTTGACTGCAAAATACAGGCCGGAGCTCCATCCTCAGCTGCAGAATGAAGCTGCTTCTTTGGCTGCAGAAGAAGTGGGCTGATTGGGCAGACTGTCGGTGCCGGAGGTAAATGGAAGATACCCCCCCCCCAAATAAGACCTGGTGCTTCTATTGGAGGCAATAAATAAATAAATAATAATAATAAAAAAAAAAACCCGGGTCTTATTTTCAGGGAAACATGGTAACTGGTCACAGCAATCAGGTGGTAATGCTACAGGATGGTTCTTCCCAAAAAAGGAATTAGTCACCCCAAAATAGTCTGCTGGGCAATTATTGTCAAACACAGCAAGGGAAGAAACTGTTTCACCTTTTTTACTGACAGCAACAGTGCTTGAGCAAATTGTTCTGTAGATGATGGGGTGCTCAAGAATCTGATGTCATCTCCATGATCAAAGGCAAGGGTTAATGCCTCTCTAAATAAAGAATAAATTGATGTGAGCCCTTCAAGATAGGCTTGGTCAGGAATTGGACACCACAAAAACTACTGGAACTCTATTGTTGAAGGGTGTAGTAACAGAGTTTGAAAGCCTGGTGATTTTTTTTTCTCCCCCTCTTATATCAAAGAGAGTTTGATATAAGAGCGAGTTTCATTTTCATTCCCTCCTCTCTTCCAGGGCTAAGTTTTATGGTGGATGAATTTCTTCAAGGTTATCTCTGTATTCCTCTGTACTTACTGAGAATCTCAGCTCCACTTAGGTGCTTTTATGCACTAAACACAGCATAAAAAAACAGTGTCATATCATTCACAATGTTTACTTCCAGTTTGTAAGAACTTCTCTGAAGCTCTTCTTTTCTACACATCTGTTACCGTTTCACAGTTATAATTTTATTGGGATTACATGGAGAGACGTTCATCTAGAATGCTGGGAATGGGTGTGGAAGGGCTTTGTGGTTCAGGCCAGCTATTTATAAAGTACTTGAATGTGTTTCTTTTTTCTATGGGTGCACCACCCTTTCCCAGCTACTTTTCTATTTTGCAATAAGCACAAACTGAATATTTCAGATTTAAATGTGTTTTTACATTGAAGTCCATGCATTGTTTTATTTTGCACATTTTTAGTGGTAGGTAAAAGTGTGTGAACTCTTTTGAATTTTCAATATAAATACAAGGAAAACTTACCAATCAGTACAGAACAAACAGATCTGGATAGTATCTGAAACATCACCTGATCATTCCCCTGCCCAGAAAATCTAACCCTCTTTCTGGGAAGTAGCCATCCAGACACATCTTAAACCTGACTTAAGAAGCTATCTCTTCTGTTAGAAGTGAAAATTTTTGTGTTGTCAGGAATCTCTTCCTATATTTCCTTCTAAATGATTTTGCTGATAATTTGAACATCCTGGCATCTTATCCTCTGATGTTACAAAATAAGTAATAGTCTCTAGAACACATATGTATGTACAGTATATATATTTATATGTATCCATCAATATTCTTTTTTTTAAACTGGATGCCAGAACAGATTAGTCTTACAACAGAATAGATAGGTAACTAACACTTATCATTAGTTGGATACTTTGCTTTGGTAGAGAAGGCTACACGTCTTTCATAATTTGATTATAATTTTCCAGTTCCCATCCCTTTGCTTCTTTCTTTAAATAGTAAATGAAGGACATGAATGCACAAGCCCTGTAGTGTGATTTTGTTGTTTTTGTTCTTAGCATCAACAATACTTGAGAGAATGTAATAGAAATCTTGAATGCTAGATTAAATAAGCAACAGAAGGTAACTGCAATTGCAGACATGTAATCAGTACAGTCAACTCTCACAAAGCAATTGCCATGTTGCTAAAGTAAAATAGCAAAGTGCCCTCTGAATTTAATTTAAATCAGGGATCTTCAAACTTGGCCCTTTTATGACTTGTGGACTTCAACTCCCAGAATTCCTCAGCAAGGCACGCTGGCTGAGGAATTCTGGGAGTTGAAGTCCACAAGCCATAAAAGGGCCAAGTCTGAAGGCCCCTGATCTAAATTATTGAAGCAAGTAAAATAGGAACTACTGAAAATATAATTACAGAAACAATGAATAAAAGAATGCTAAAGTCTTTATTCCTTGAAAAGATAACTTTCCAAACATTTTACAATCTTGTTTTGCAATTATTCTTTTTTAGCCGTGCCCAAATCAGAGACTTCTTTTGTACAAAATTGGGATTCTCCCTTTAGTCTCTCCAGCACTTCTCCCCACTTTAGTCAAATGTCAGGTTCCTGCATACAAGTGTTTCCTTTCAGAATCCCATCCACTGCCTGGATGACTAAGCTCTTTCAGCAGCTGTGTTATTGCTGGAAGAGAGTCAATATTTTTCACACAGACTATTTTGTTTCATGGAACTTGTGCAAAATGTGACTTGGTGCTGCATCAGAACAAAAACTGAAATCAATTTGGCAATCTCAAAATAAGAAAATAAAAGAGGCCCCAAATGGTCAACGGTTACCACTATTTAAAATTAGATGTTAGTCACTTCTATAAGGTAAGTGGTTTCTCCATATTTTTTTAAAAAAGTATTGTATTGACAAAAAAAAACTGCAAAGAGATAATGAAGTATGACAAGGAATATAATTTTTCCCTATGCAGAAATTCCATCTGTACTTTCTTCAAACAATGCAAGATTGAATCCAAATATTTTAAATAATAGTAAGAATTATTCTGTGCTTGTACACAAATAATTCCAATACCTACTGTTCTATTTTCTACTACTGAAAGACTGACTTGCCTTCAGCCTCAAGTCTTGGTTGCAACCATCTTCTTCCATCTTCTGCTTGGTCATCAAGATCTTCCAAGCTGTCCTCTAGATACTGCTACCACCAAAATAGATGGTGACCACTAGATGGCGGCCTATCAGAAATAGCATCATTTTTCCTCATAAAGTTTAGCCTAGCATATGTTATGATCTTTTTGCGATTTCCTGTAGCTGCATTGTCTGATGTTCTCTATTACCTGATCCTTCTATTAAATGGTGAAAACTATTTT